GATTACCAAGGTTGGTTGGCTTCCTGGGTAGGTGGAAAGCTGGAGAAGGAACACACTGTGCACTCCTCTTGGCCTTTGCTCATTCTGTTTGTTTCTGGAGTGCCCTTCCTCATCTCTGCCTAGCTAATTGCTATTCATCCTTAATGATTGCTTTCAAATACTATCTTCTTCAGAAAGGTAACATTGTCTACTTTCACCTATCTTCTGAGCAGGAATCATTGTCCTGTTACAGAGTTTGAGAACTCAGAACTCAGAGTCTTTCCCAGGATTACAGAATGAGTTAATGCCAAAGATAATACTGAATCCCTCCTATGACTCCTAGTCCAAGATTCTTCTCACTGATAACGTTCATTAAATTCCCTGATTTCAATCTTTTCAGCTATAAAATGGAGATAACGCATGCTTTCTGCTTCTTATGTTTGTTGTGATCATGAGTCAATGAGACAGTGGCTAGGAAAGAACTTTGTTAAGGCCTGTGCATATGTGAGGGAGGTGATCATTTCCAGAAAGTGATGAACTGAGTTCCAAGTGGCTCTGGGACAGCATGGCTTCTTTAGTTCTCTCCTACATTTCTGCCTTATAACCCTGTTTGCTGCTGGGGATTCAGCTGGTGCACTCAGCCTAAACTGCATAGCTCTTATGTAGAACTGCCAGCTGTATCTCCCCGACCCCTTTCTTCCCCTTCTGTTCCCAGATCTGGTTTAGGTTAAGTTATTATTTCAGTTAGTGGTTGCTTCCATTCAGGTCAGAAGGGATGGGGTGGTATAATGCAGGGCAAAAGACTGAGTCTTACCACTGTGTGCCCTGTGATTTAGGACAAGACAATTTATTTTTGGGGGGTGTCTTCAGGGAATAGAATTAGATGGTCTCCAAAGTCACTTCCTAATAGTTTCTAGGGTGTCCTTGATCTAAGTAAGCTCTGTGTTGTTGAGATCCAGAAATATAATGATCATGATTAGTAGCCATGATTTGGGTCCTTAAGAAACTTAACATTTTACTTCTGAAAAATCACAAGAACTGTACAAGATAGTAAATGATTGGATGCATGGTGGTTGGTAAAGCGGATTTTGTGCCTGGGAATTCAGAGAAAGGAATGTAAGGAAATCCTTCCTAGAAGAAGTAAGACTTGAACCAGCATTTAACAGAGAAGAAAAAGCGACCAGAAAGTGGAAAGTGGCAACTTAGGAGGTGCATTCAGAGGCTGTAGGCAGAAGAAAGCATGGCTGGTAGAGGTGGACCCAGCTGCAGCATTGCCTTGTATGTTCATGTGTTAAGGGACTTCATTTCTCTGGAGCTGTTTTCTATAGACGACTTGTTCCCTGAGCTACTTTCTCTCTCTGGATCTTTATTACCAAAGTTCCTTCTGGACTTAACATCTATGTCTATGACATTGTATTTATATTTTGTATTAATATATAATGGAAATAATGCATAACATTATAATTAAATGCTTATTAGAATCTACATAAGATACTAATTATATTTCCTGAAAACCTTTTTTTAAATTTAAAATATTTATTTTATGTGTATGAGTGTTATGCCTATAGGTATGTAAATGCACACATACCATGCAGTACCCATGGAGGACAGAAGAGGGCATCAGATTCCCTGAAGCTGGAGTTGTAGACAGTTGTGAGCTACCACATGGGTGCTGGGATTTGAACTTGGGCCTTCTGTAAGAACAGCCAGTGCTCTTTACTGCTGAGCCATCTCTCCAGTTCCCCCTAAAACCTTTTAAGAGACTAATTTAGAGAGAATTTGGAAACAGAAAACCATTTGGAACAAAAAACATTTCCAAAGTCCTGTTGATCCTATACATTTTAGCTTTGAGTGAGACATGTAATTATGTCTTAAGAGCCTGCCTGACTGGGACCATGGCACAACCCTTAGCCTTCTCTTTCTCAAAGCAGCTGCTCTGGAAGGGAAATTGCCAAGTACATAAATAGCCTAACCCTAGCAGTTGGTATGTAGTCAAGTGGTTCTTATGAAGTTACTGAAAGAAAAAAAAAAAGCCAGAAATAGGTTCAAATCCTAGCCTTCACTAGCTAGATGAATTAATTACCCAGTGTTCTGTTCTATAAGCTGATAGTAGCATTTAGCTTATAAAATTGTAAGAAGGAAGAAAATAATGTATGTTATGGTACATATGCATGGTAAGTTCTTAACATTCTTTCTCATATCCATGTGTTTAATTCAACTTGGAATTCTTCAGGGGAGGTGAAGTAGAAGGTAAAAGGCCTTGACTTTTATTTCACTTGCTTAATGACTGTGCAGATCTGTGCCACAATTTCCTAGTCTGCAGATGAAAGTTGACCCTCAGGGTTGTGGCGATTATGTGAGATGATATATATGAAATACCTATTAAAACCATGGGGTGTCATCTCAGGAAGCAGTCTAGTCACAGAGCTTTAAAGACTGCTTGCCTTCCTGAGTACATAGACTCTTGTGGAATGTAAGAGCTAGAAAGGCCCTTAAAGATCATCTTGTCCATCTCCCTATCATTGGATGGAGAGGCAAAGATCCTGGACTGTGTATTGTGGTGAGTATCATGAAGTAGAAGGAAAACAGGCATGGACTTTAGATCTCTTTCCCCCCTCCCTGCTTTACAACCTTTCTTCAGCATTATGCTGGCTTTTGAAATGGTATTAGGACTTCCAAATTTGTTTTGATTAATGTGCTGTGCTGCCAGCTGCTCTCATACAGAACTGGTGGGAGCCAGGTAACAAATTTTGTGAAAGTTAGGCCATGGTTGATGGGATTAAATATTTGTTCTGGTTCTGGAGAGAAATGCATGTCTTAGGGAGTTTTCTTAGACTGTACCCAGTTGAGGTAGGTATCTGTTCATTTTTTTTTTTTCTTCACTCACTGTCTGAGCACCTATTTTGTTCCAGGTGGTGTGGAACCCTCTGGGGATTTGTGATGAGTTGAACATTGCCCCACACTTGTAACTTAGTCTTATAGAGAAGATAATAAGCAATTAAAATACATAATTACTCTGTTGGTGTTAGGGGAACAGGGGAAAGAATGAACTGCCCAGGGGAATTCTTTCCTTCCTTCCTTCCTTCCTTCCTTCCTTCCTTCCTTCCTTCCTTCCTTCCTTCCTTC